TATTAAAATATAATATTTAAAAATGAATTATTTTAAGTTTTACCTCTACATAGCAACGATCTTGGTCCGATGCAGAGAGACCGGATGAAGAACCCGCTGAATCGCCAACATTTTGCGAGAGTTGGGTAAGTTGTTGAGTTACAGTGCTTACAACTCGTTCTGCACGGGGATCGACATATGTCCCATCGGACTTTTTGTGTGTCCGAGCGACCAACTCTACGATTGATGGCGTTCTCCCCATTTCTTTCTCCTATATATATATATTAGGGAGATTCACATATTAAATATTGAACTTTAACCAAATTTCCAAATTAAATACTTAACTATCCCACTTCCAAATTAAATACTCAACTATATTGAAATTCACAAATAAAAACTAAACTTTTCAAATTTTAACATATACCTAAAGGATAATCCAAAACAAAACCCTTTACTTTTTTTCATCACAATTTAAACCCTATACTTTTTTTTATCCAAAAAAACCCTATACTTTTCAAAATTTTAAAAATTATACACATTCATATACATATATTAATTATTATAAGCACAAAATCAATTACACATTTATTTTCCACAAAATTAATTGCACATTTATTTTATATATTTATATGTATATATATGTTTTATATATATGCGTGATATATATATTTTTTCCTAAAAAATTATTATATATAAAAAAACTATTTATTATTTGTATATTGTTTATATATAAAAAACTATTTTCCAAAAACATATTTATATGTATATATATGTTTTATATATGTATGGTATATGTATTTTTTTCCTAAATTTTTTATATATATAAGAAATTATTTATTATTTTTATATGAGTTAAATTGTCCAAAAAAACAATAATTATATGTATATATATGTTTTCAAATTTATGTATATGAATGTGTATAATTTTTAAAATTTTGAGAAGTATAGGGTTTTTTTGGATAAAAAAAAGTATAAGGTTTAAATTGTGATGAAAAAAAAGTAAAGGGTTTTGTTTTGGATTATCCTTTAGGTATATGTTAAAATTTGAAAAGTTTAGTTTTTATTTGTGAATTTCAATATAGTTGAGTATTTAATTTGGAAGTGGGATAGTTAAGTATTTAATTTGAAAATTTGGTTAAAGTTCAATATTTAATATGTGAATCTCCCTATATATTATTAACATAATAAAAAATCTATAATTAAAAAACTAATTAAAAATTAAAATAAAGTTTAAATAAATACCATCTCTTTTTGCCTCTTCTTGAATGATTTAGCACCGGAGGTATGACGATGAGGCCCATCACCCTCGATTTTTTGGGACAGACGACTTTGTTTCGCCTTGGAACTCTTGTTCTTGAAATGGTCTGAGTTCCAATGCGTAAGAAGTTGTTGGTACAAGTCATTTGTTGCCCACTCCGGTGGCAGTCCATGCAGCTGATGACGGCGTTTGGCATTGTTCATCATTTGTTTCAACCGCTGCATACCCAGCTGGTTGAACTCTTTGTAAACTTTATCGGTGTACTTTTTTTTTTCCACCGAAAAGATTGCTTTAAAAAAATAGAGTTAGTGATTAATTATTTTATTTAAATAAAATTTTAAAAATATAACTTACGATGAACGAATGCCACCAAGAACGTTTGATGTTGTCCGGTACCACCGTCCAACAGTAGTACAGTTGAGGAAAATTTGACGTTATTATTGCTGTAAATTTTTTCCTCAAATCTTTATCGTTAACCCCGAACCTAATTATAATAACAATTTATTAATATTAACTAATAATATAATTTAAAATAAAATATTGAAATAATGTGCCTCGATCCGCCGTTGTTGTTCGAGATCGCTCTGCATGCCAGGAGAAATTGCTGCACCGAAATCATCAAACAAATCTCGCTGCAATCCTCCTAATCTATAGATGCGGCCCTTATTTGAAAGACCGACTGAAAAATGAAGAAAAAGAATTATTATCAAAACTCTTCTTCGGATGTTCTGGCCCAGGAATCAACAATGTCAAAAACATAAATTCTCTTTTCATGCACATCTCAGGTGGTAAGTTGTACGGAGAAAGTATAACTGGCCATAATGAATACTGCATGCCAGATTGTCCGTACGGACTAAATCCATCAGTACACAAACATAGATACACATTCCTAGGCTCAGCAGCGAATTGAGGAAATACCATGTTGAAGTTTTTCCACGCCAAAGCATCTGATGGATGTTGCATTTCTCCATCAACGGTAGAATGCGAGGCATGCCATCTCATATGCGAAGCCGTTTGTTGTGATTCATACAAACGCTTCAATCTGTACGATACTGGCATATAGAACATCTTTTTATACGGAGTTTGTCTCCGTACATTCTTACTTGGACGGTATCTGTTAGTCCCACATAATTTACACCTAACCAATTCTTTTTCTTCACCCCAGTACAGCATGCAACCATTTTTGCAAACATCAATCTTTTCATAAGGCATTCCCAAATTCTTCAACATAGCCTTCGTATCATAATACGATTCTGGAGCTTCGTTATTTTCAGGTAAATATTCACGCAACGTTTGACAAAATGAATCCATGCAATTTTCGGTGACATTGTAATCCGTTTTCATACTCATCAATCTTGATGCAAGAGATAAACGTGACTGACCTTCTTTACATCCTTCATAGATAGGATGATTTGCCATATCCAACATGTCGAAAAACCGTTTTGTTTCGACGTTTGGCTCCTCCTGATCTTGTGATGAGTTTTGCTCAGCCAATGCCCCAGGAAAAGCATCTGTCACCATTTCAACATAAGGATTTCTTACATCTTCATCTACATCATACCTCTGCTCGGCCG